TTTGTTAAGGGTAGCAATTTTAACTCTAATTTTACTAGTTTATATTTTTTTTAAATAATTGATTATGATAAATAAAAAGTTTGGTTATAAATTACAATAAATTAAGGAAAAAGTTTTTGTCAGCCTTATCTCTTAAAGATTATGAGGAAAATTATCCTAAAACTACGTCGTTTCAATAACTTTTTATTGAAAAAAATTAAACTACCCTATTTTTAAAGCATGTATTAAGGTGATTTTTGTCTTTTTTTTCCTCTTAATTTTTGGAAAGTAAGGCGGATAAACACTAACCCTATAAATTAAATAGGTTAAATAGTAAATATTAATTATTTTATTAATTATTAATTATTTTTAATATTAAATTAAATTAAAAATTTCATAATTTTAGTTGCTTATTTGACCATGCTATTACCGCCAAGTATGCCGTCCTATTGCAAGACTTAACTGTTGAGTTTTGGTCAAGTTTTCCTTATTAAACTCCGTTCGCCTCGCATTTGGCTTCAACTGAGAATGAGTGCCAGTCCGCGCCGTCAACAAATAGACACCGAGACGCGGGATTGCCGCGCTCTTCCCGCCGATTGCCTCGCCGCCATCATCTCCCTCACCAGTCCTCTCGATGCCTGTAGATGGTCAGTAGTTTCCCCCTTTTTCAACTCTGTCGTCAGTTCCGACGCCGTTTGGGTTAAGTTCCTACCGTCCGACTACCAGAATTTGGTTCCCGCATCGCGATCCACTTCTTCCTTGAAGGACCTTTATCTCAGCCTCTGCGATCATCCTGTACTCATTGAAGATGGCAAAAAGGTAAATATATATATATATATATCCCGACTCCTACCTGCCTTTTTGATCTTTTCGTTTCCGTGTTCCCATATAATCTTATGGTTTGGCATGTTGTGTTCAGTGGAAAATGATTTACTCCTTTGGTTCATTTTAGTTCTCCTAACTCATCAATTTTATACCACAAATTAATTTGATAATTTTATATGACAAACAAATCATAATTGAAAAAAAGATAATTTAATTAAAAACACTAAATAAAAATTATCCATAGGAAAAAAATTTAATTACTCCATTCGTCCCAAAATAGGGTTTTTCGATTTTATGTTTAGAAGGATTTGGGAACAATTTGGGCTAACTGTACCATTGATGTAAGGGGACTCTCCCAATATAAGGACCTGTCCTCATTAGTAGTTATAAGATGTGCATTCCGCCCCTTGGTTACAGTATTACAGAATGACAGTACGAGGACAGACTACACATCACTTTTCTGATTTACATACGGTCAAATTTTATGCAAAATTCAAACTAGAATAACTAAATCAGACTAGAGAAGAGGGAGTACATGTTTTCTTAATAAAATCTTACGGTCCTAAATTTTACAATCTTAGGTAGTGTTAATCATTGGCTCTTTTTCAGTTTTTCACTCAGCAAGGTACTTGACTCGATATGCATTCACTCAATATATGCATATTGTAAGATTTCATTGTTTGGACTGAGAATGAATCATAAGCTTAAAAAAGCCAAATTCTGATAATGCCTTCCTTTTCTGATCAATTGCTGTGTGTAGCTAATTGAGCTACGCGCTTTTTGTTTGCTGTGAATGGTTTTTCCTAAGAACTTTTAACATTTTTTTTTCACAAACTTCTTGAGGACTTTTAACATTTATTTTGTGTGTGTAGCTATATATGGCCTGTTAAGACGCCATGACTTGGCGTAATTTTCTTTCGTGTTGATGGTCCTGAATTCATGTCTATATGAAGCAGTTAACTATAGGGATTTTTATTGGTATAATTTACAAAACTTATGGATGTGTTGCCTGGGTATTCAATGCTTCTTTTTTTTGGAATATGCTTGCTAGAGGATTATGTTCTTGTTGGTGATGTAATAATCATTAATGATGGTGATGTCCTTTCTATGGTAAGTTTATGTATTCCTTTGGTTCCTTCTTGATATTTTGAAGTTTGATCAGTAACCTTTTCCAAACTATTCTTTTTCAGTACTAGTATTTTTTTGGCCAACATTTTCAGAACTAGTTGAGTGTTTAATTGTATAACCTGTATTGCATAGAGCTTTTCACTGCACAAAAGGAGTGGGAAGAAATGTTACATGCTAGCTGCTAGGGACTTCGCAGTTATATGGGGTGATAATCCTCATTATTGGAGTTGGAACTCCATACAAGATTCCAGGTTTCTCTCTCTCTCTCTGAACTCCATACGAGATTCCAGCTCACACACACGCACGCAAACACCACACAGAAAAGCAGACAAACGGCATGCATGACACAGTTCCACTCACACCCAACCAAAAGAATTCAAGCATGTAGTTGATTGTTTTTAAGTGTCTTCTCCAACTAAAAATGAATAAATATGTGAAGATTAATGTCTATAATTCATGCTTAATTATAATCAGGTTCCCTGAGGGTGTGCAGAGCTTCTCAGTGTTCGTTGGTTTGAAATCAATGGGAGTATCAGTACTTGCAAGCTTTCTTCAATGACACATTATAAGGCATACCTTGTGTTCAAACTGGCAGCTAGATTTTTTGGATTTACAAATGAACGCGTAGAAGCCACTGTTCGACTCAGTGGAACTGAAGGTTTGCAGCGAAGTGTGTTTCTGCATGCAGAAGTTGAAGATGTACAAAATGATTACCGGTACCCATCAGTAGAGAGGGGAGATGGTTGGCTAGAGCTAGAGTTGGGTGAATACTTCAATGAAGGAGGTGAAGATGGCCAACTGGAAATACGAATTTTACATTTCGATGGTGGCTGGAAAAGTGGTGTCATTATTGAAGGCATCGAAATCAGGCCAAATTAGCAGGACATGATAAGATCTTCTTCCACCTTGTGTATTTTGTGTGGGAAAACATTGCTCCTCGTGTTAAATTGGGATTGTCATGCACTAGTCTTCATAAATATATGAGTTCTACTGTTATCCAGATGCGGTCTGTGAATCTTTATTTGAACAATGTATACTAATCTGTAAGGTTAATTACTAGTTTTGATTCGATTTAAGGAAAAGCACCTTTAGGACTTATTAAGTCCCTAAGAAAGAGCATTTCAAGAATACTTGATTTTTCTGAATTCAGAACACAAGGTGAGTTCTATATATGTCTAAAATCCAATGTGAGGGGGCCTTTGATCCTGAGCCCGGAAGCTGCTATTGGAGTCATTGTGAGATACTGGAGGATTAGTGGTTCGAGGACAGGTGCGATTATTATTCAATGCTTCTACTGCTCTGATTGAAGCTTATAAAACTAGCTAGAATTCAAGAAAGCAGAAAGAAAACACGCCAACATTACAGCAAAGACTAATTCTAAATTAGTAGTTAAAAGTTATTTCGAATTCAAACATAGCTGTGGAAATGGTACCAATAAAATAGTTATAAATGTCAATGATTTGAGACACTCCAATGTTGATCGCTGATTCCAACACATTAGAAGGATTGTAAATGGAGTTACTCTGATAAATAATAATAATAATAATAATAATAAGAGGTTGCCAATTCGATTGCTGGGACATCTTGTAAGTGGATGTGCATTGTCTCTTGGAATTCTAGGTAGGGGTGGGCATTGCTCGCCATGCTATGCGAACTACATCGTCCTGCTATGCGTCAGTTAATCACATGATATAATAATAAATGAGTTGATTTTTATTTATAATCAGCAATTATTAATTTATCTTGACACAGTAATGATAGTGGGGATCCATTAACAGAATCTTCTTTAAGTTAATTAAAATTTAAAAGTATATAAGTACATTTTTTTTAAGTTAAAAACTTTTTCTATATATTTGGATTGAAGGGAATGGGGAAGGAAAAGGGCAAAAGCCTAAAAATAACTCATTACCTTGATAAGTTGGACGATTTTGGCCCCTCACCTTATAATATAACGTTTTACCCCCTAACCTATAAGAATGGAAAAAAATAGCCCTTTTTGGTAACTTCCGTTCATTGGGCTGTTATCGTCCGTCACTTCCGTCCCTTCTTCCGTTATCTTTCCGTTAACTTTCTTAAAGCTTTTCCAAGATGCCTGCTGCATTTTTTTTGGGAATTCAAACCTTTTTTTTTTTTTTTAGAATTTTAACATTTTTTTATCTTTATTTTTTAAAGATGACTGCACATGTATTACTTGTATGTAATTTTTTCATATTATTAAATAAATAGATATAATTAATATTATAGGTCTTAAATAAGTATAAACAATAAATAAAATATATAATACAATCAAAAAATGATTTGGACTTTTTTTTTCAGACTATTGCATATATTTATTATATATAATTTTTACATATTATTAAATAAATAGATATAATTAATATCATAAATACAGATAAATAAAACGAATGAATAAAATATATAATATAATAAAAAAAGGTAAAACTTTCTCAAAAATATGTTGCATTTTTTAAAATTTTAACATTTTTTAGACTTTTATTTTTAAATATTACTGTATATATCCATTGTATTCAACCTAAAAAATAATCTGCATACAACATATTCTTAATTTTGAGACTAAGGTA